ATTAAAAGCGATAGAATTGTTTAAGTTGGGACGAAGCAAACGTTGTCATTTAATGCATGCTATCTATTTATACATATCAATGATTGTAATGCACGTTCATGAGTGGAAGTTGAACGGAGTTTGATGAAATTTCACACAGATATACAGAGACTATTCACTGCTTTTTTCATTTCACGCGGACGGATTCACTTGCAAAATGTAATGTACATATAAAACTGAAAAAAAAATTGGGTACAGTCGTAGTAATTTGCAGTATTGTTCTTTAGAAAATTGTTCTTTGCATGAGTATGAAATTGTGTATTTCCAGAGTGGGGATGGTAAACACGATCCTCGGCTGATCACGATCATGAATTTGACAGCAGTCGCCATCAGACGCTTCATCAAGATGGCCAAGAAGATAAACGCATTCAAGAATATGTGTGAAGAGGATCAGGTAGTGATTAAATTCTCTTCCCCAATTAAGAAGGCGATAGCCTGATGGTTTGTGGTACGAACTGATCTCGAGGTCGAGGGTTCGAATCTTGACATTCGACTTAGCACTACCCTAGAGCTTTATTGGAATGGTTAAAGTATAGTAAATTAGCAAAATTTAAAAAATGATATCCACTAATACAGTTTTGAGTATAGTAATGAATATTGTCGACTTTACTTATGTATTGGTAGAAATCTTGCGTTACATTCTGGTTTCTGAGTGTGACATAGACCCATATATATTAATTACCCCATTTCCAACATTCTCTAATTGTCAATTATGTGTTGTATAAACTTTAAAGATTATAAATAAAACTACAGTAAACCCCCTTTTAACGCGAATTCATATAACGAATTTCATACCTCCATGTTACACAAACTACTTCTTATAACGCGAATATACTCAACAATTTATAGGAACCTCTATAACGCCATTTACGGCAATGACCTTGAAAAACGGGATACATGGTGATCCCTATAACGTGGAACTATAAACCGCGTTATACGATTTGCTGTAATTTTTAAAATTTTTGTTTGTTTGAAGTACTAAATTAGGATGTTTTATTATTCTCTATGGAAAAAGTTTTAGGCAAACATCA